ATTTCATAGAGAGGCAGTGGAAGAACTATCTTTTCCAAAACATCATTATACATGTGAGCAGAAAATAATTATTCCTGTTACTTTGAGAAAATGCTAAATGATAAATGAAGCTTTCTTTTGAAGTCTTATTCTAGGAGGTTAAATACATTGTGGTAGTTCTTCAAAGGAAATTTGTTTTCTGCTTAGTTTTCCCACCAGCTTTCTAAGCTCTTCATCAAACTTTCCAAATATCTCTGTTCTTATTTCTACTGTTCTCACTGCTTCTTGTACCTCAAGTCAATATATCATTTAATAGTATTTGATTCAGCTCTTTCTAACTCCTTCTAATAAGGAAAAGGATAATACTGCCCTACAACAAACCTAAAAGCAAGAATGATCTGGTATACACAGTCACTAAAACACTCTGAGGAATGTGCTGGGTAAAAACTAGCATAGCCATCTGCAGTGTTCTCCCTCTGCTTCCTGACCAAGTTATCACCACCAACCTTCATATAGCTCTGTAAGACAAGACACCTTCTATCAAGAACAAAATTACCTCCCATCTTCCTAAATTTTACTGCTGGCACACCTCCAGTCAGCAGCAGCAAAGTATGTAATCCTGCCTACCTAACATGCTGTATAAAAAGCTGTTTCCTTTCCAGAAAGACTGACCTTAGTAATGAGCTATCAAATCTTTTTTACTTTTTTTTAGGAGTCCAAAGAAGCTCTAGGGTTTGTTACTTTCGGTGTTTGTGTATTTCTGAGACAAGCTGATGCCTTTTCTCCACTGTTTTAATACCAGTAAATAGCCTTATTCTTCACTCCCTGCTGAAGCTTTTCCTTGCAGAAATAGAACAGGAGAGGATGGAAGAACTTCACCCCTAGCCATAGACTTTAAAACACCTTTGAGAGTTGTTATGTGTCACATTGGGATGAAGGGCAGTGACTAGCAAACATCAAGATTTTAAGGCACTTCCTCATTCTAGTTTTTGTTAATGCTTTCTGTTGCAAAACCTTAATTCCCTCTGTGTTGGAATACCAGGCTCTTTCTTGCTCCAAGGTCAGGGCAAATAAATCTGAGGAGACATTGTTTTTGAAGTCAGAGTCTGAAGTTTATTATCGTTATCTATCACAAACTCAGGAGATGTGAGCTCTCTCTAACAAGTCAAGAAAGTGAGCTAAAGTGGTGTCTATTCAAGGCTATTTAAGTCCCAATTATCCAATAAACAGTTCATATTATTGATGCTTCTAACCCAATTATAATCACCCAAAACCCACAACACAGACATCTTTCACCCAGTCAGCGAAAACCACCCAGATTCATAAGGAAGAAGAAGGAACAAGAAAGTGCAAAAAAGATAACTAACCCACACCCAAAATTCTCCATCTTGGCTCCCATATGTCATCATATACTAAAATCCCAGATCCAAGTTTTGTCACCCAGTGAGATATAATACTATCCATACTACACACACACTGTTTCTGTGCTGTCACTCAATTTTTGAAGCCTTTTCCAAGGTCTCAGGTCAAACAAGGTTTTTACTTGGCACCCTTAAATTCAGAAAGCTTGAAGTTTTCAGCCATCAGAGTTCCAACATCTCTTCTATGTAACAGGCAATTTTATTAGAAGAAGTGGCAGACATCTGCTGGATGTAAGCAGAAAACAATGCAAACTGCATCCTTCACAGACCCTTATTCCACTACAAAAGGAACCTACTTCAGCATAGTACAAGTAGGAACCTTTTATTTTTTTCCCTAAACAGGGGCATATGGATATAAAAGGGATTATAAGACAGTTACTAAGTGCCTTCATAAATTAATTCAGCTGTTCATTGGCTGGGTTTGAGTTCGAATACAAATGATAAATTTCTTTATTTTTATAAGATGATAGAACCACAGAATGATTTGGGTTGGAAGGGACCTCAAAGATCACCTGGTTCCAACCCACTTGACCAGGGAAGGGATACTTGCCACTATATCAGGTTGCTCAGTGCCCCATGCAGCCTGGCTCTGCACACTTTCAAGGATGGAGCATTCACAGCTATTCCGGGCAACCTCTTCCAGTGCCTCACCACCCTCACATTAAAGAGTTTCTTTTCATCCTACTTTGATGTAAACTTCTGGCAGACTCAGAGCCTGATGACTAGCAACATCAGGTGCCTTCCAGAAATTGTACTGTAACAATCAGAAAAGTCTTAGTTTCTTCTCTTATGTGATAACACCAGTATTCCTTCACTAACCTCCACAGACCGGCAGCTCTGCTGCATCACATTATTTTAAACTTCACTTAATTTCAGACTAAAAAGTCAAAAGCTGCATACTGAGTTATCTTTTAAGAAGGAACTTCTGGTTTTAAAACTGTCAATTAAATACATTAAGAAAGCAGTTCTAATTACACACTTCTACCATGTCAGTTGCTAGTTTTTCATCTGTTTATCTAACAGCACTCATTAAATGGGCATATCATCTAGAAATAATGATTCCAGTATGTGTATCATCACAGTATTTTTTTGTGTGTTTGCTTTGGTTTCAAAGGAATCAAGGCCTCTGTGATCATGCTGTGGGCATGCACAGGGATGCCTAAGTCTGTTCTCCTAGGAAGCCTGAAGTCTTTACCTAACTGACCAAAGAAATAAGCTTACTACAAGTTTATTGAGTATCAACTACCAAGCAGAGAGGAAACTGAGGGGAAAAGCACATTGCAAAAGCAATCTCTATTACATACAAAATCCTCACAGAAGAGGATTAATTACTTTTAATAAAATTAATGCTGGAAGAAACTTCCATTAAAGTTTACAACTTACCAAGAAAAAATCGAACAGGAAAACTTAAACCCAAAGCAAAGGTATATTTTACTGGTTCCATGTTCCCACAATCAATTGTCAATGTGGAAGCTCAATAAGTTAGTTACTTTGCTTTCCTGGGCATCAGTATTAGTAGTGTAAAGGATAGACTTAACCACTGCTATTGACTTAAAAGGCATTTAGTATTAAACAACTTCTAAGTAAGATAAAAGACTAAACTAGAAGCTATAGTGATGACATATATTCTATACCAAGAATTATTTTATCTTTTTCTTGCAGGGTGAACCACATTCCATCATGCATTTAAATTTTTATTGAAAACACAAGAACATTAACATGTTCCAGTTTTGGATTTTAATGTGGGAATTACCCCAAGCAAATACACTAAGTTCTAAGAATAATGAATGTACTGCATGCAAAATTCCAGTGTGAACTATTGTTGAGTAGTACTTCAGGATTTGCCAAGGCTCCTAAAAAACAGCAGAGTTCTTCTCAAAATGGATATAGCAATTTATAGCAATAAGATGTTTACCCACCCCTATAAATCTATAGCACAGAAATGTTTTTTCTAGTACCAGTCTAAGTTCAAAAATCAAATTTTCTTCCTGAGGTGTCTAAGAGTCTCACTGCATCAAAGTTATCTCAAGTTGAAAATGTGCTGGTTTACTTACAAATCATTCTAAATTAGGTATCTAGAGTTTTCTTTCCCTCTCTACATCATGGGAATTAAGTATGACAAGTCAAATCCCTAGGATGCTGCCTGCATGTAATTAATCAGTATGACTTAGACTGGGCCAGCATCTGCCTGGTTTTAATTTAAAATGCTTTATGGGAGACAGAGGAAATAACAGACGATTTCTTCATGTCAGATTTGCAAGCCTGCAACTAGCCAGCACCTCTAAACAGCTCTTCCTGTTTTCTGTCCCAGTCATTACTGGCTGTGAGCGGAACTGGTTGGCATTTCATGATTCTAAGAGTTTTTACTAGAAATGTATGGTTTGTCAAGAAAGCATGTTTCCTAATTGAAATTAGTTGTTTTTAATTAACTCCCAGTGAAACCCTGCAGGGGTAACACCAGAAAATGGCTTCCAGGGCTAACAAACAAAGCACCTCCAGGTCAAAGGACATCTCCCTTTCCTAGATTTGCAGATCCTCAGCTATGCTTCCACACAAGAACATGGACACAAAACAGCGGCTTGGAAATTTTGCTTGTTTGGCTTCTCCCAGATTTCTCTTTTATAGGAAATTTCAAAATTGACACTTTTCCTTCTGGCATGGAATTTAGAAGTTTAGAGGAGTGGGTGTGACAGAAATGTTGTGCCAACCCACCATACTTTGGCTAGTTTCAATGTCAAGCACTTGATATTTGGTTTACTTTAGGCTCTACAGGTCTGATGAGTACTCATCTTCTGTTAACACTTCTGAAAATTTCTCTGTCCCTTGATAGTAGCCTGCTGTTTGCAAAGGAAGAGGTGTCAACAACAGAAGCACCCTCTCCAATACACTGCAGTAAATGGAGTCAGGAGGGCCACCCCTCACCCCATCTGATGGCACAGCAGAGTCACTTGGCAGGAGGAGTACTGCCAGCACAGAGACTGCATGTCCACCCAAAACCAGGTCCACACATACTCACTCAATCTGCTTCAATCACCAGTTCAATTCCAACAGTCATAAATGCTCCTCTGCTCTGACTAGAGCTTGAAAATAATCACAAAGATCACAACTTTCTTTCATGCTTTTCCTTCCTCTACAAGTAGCACGTTTTTCTGACTCTGGGCCTTGACTTCCTCCTGTCTTCCTTCTCAACAGTTTTGCATTGGGCAGAGATAGTACTTCGCTTCAATCCCTCCACAATCTCATCATATACCGGCAACATCATCAGTACCTGTCTTGGGCCTGTATACCCCGGCCATACTGTTTCATATTTAAAAGTAGGTAACACAATCAGTGGGACTTCACAGAAGAAAGACAGATTTATTCCTGCAAGAAAGTAACCTTTAAGTCAATTGCAAAACAACCCTAATTTGGCTCATATCAAGCGACAAAGAACCAAGAATCTGTTTACAGAAAGGAAGTAATACACTGATAGTTAAATAACACTTTGCGTATTTCAGACTTGAAAGTCTTGCCATCTATACATAATGGCACACACCTCAATAACATAAGTAACAAATGAACAGAAGACTTTTGAAAGAAAATAGGTTGCTTTTTACTTACCCTGATTTTTTATTCAATTCTCTGTCACTGCTGAGAAGAACCATTTCCTCCTTCATTTCTTGTTCTGTTGCTACATTATTCCCAAGCCTCTGTTGAGAATCTGCTTCCCATGTGCTATCACCACAAACTATCTGCAACTCTGATGTTCCTGCAATGCCCGAACTCACACTCCCAGCAGCCAGACCATCTGAAGGAGAACAGCTTTCATGTTCAAAAGATTTCTGAAGGGGAGTTTCTACCTGAAATTCTGTCCAAGTGTCAAGAATCATTTCCTGTGCTACAAGAGATGCCAGTTCTTCACCAGGATGCCCGGACCCTGATTCTGACATCTCTGTCTTGGCAGAAATTTCTTCAGGTGATATGTCACTTATTTCATTTTGTCCCAATATAATCCAACCCTCGTCTTGCCCACAGCTTTCCTGTGATTTCCTTTCACCATCCATCTTCTGACGCACAGCAGAAGAATTTTTCTCTTCTAAGTGAGCAGCGTCCCATTCAGTCCCACCAACAAGATGATCTTTGCTTTCATTTGAAATGGATATTGCCTGAAAAGCATCCAAGGAGCCTGGTGAAAAGTCTTCATGAGATTCTTGAAATGCAAAATTAATTCTGCTTCTTTCAACGGTATCATTTGTTGCAGGTGTATTTTCTTCCTCAGTAACAAGGATGTAATCCATCTCCAGTGAAGGTGGGAGCACCTGCATCTTCACATCTTCTTTACTGTCTGTACTTTCCAGTTCAGGGCTCTTCTGGGAATTTCTCAGCTTTTCTTCTCTACAAAGTAGGGAGTCAGTGCCAGCTTCTAAAAGAACAGGCAAAGAGAAACTCTTTAATTTTTGAATTACTGATTTAGTCACCACAGTATGCTTTAATCAGTACTGTGAGATAAAGCTCTTTTCATTTTGCTTTGCTCTGTTAATGTGTACTTGAATTTTATAACATCATCACCATCATCATTATTGTTAAAGGTTACACATTAACACGGCAATCATCCCCAAGGCACAAACAATTCAGTGTCCCATAGGCTAGGCCCTATACAAACAACAGAAATTATATTACTACTTCAGTGTTCAAAAGCTTTAGATTGCCTGTGATGCCTAAAGTTTTAGCTTTCATATTTTCCAGATTCTGTAGTGCATTAGTATACAACTCTGAACTCCATATACAGTGTCAGCAAGTTCTCTTCACAGCTCAGTTAGACAAAACAATCCTTTTCCAGCCTGAGAACCAAGGACACCGTTACAGCCTCAGGCCCAAAAAATGTCAACAACAGCAAACTGAGGGGAGGAGTGGATAGGACTTCATAACCTGAAGCTGTAAGTGGACAATTAACCCCAATATTAAATGGACCAAAAATTTTTACATTGTGAAAACAAGTGACCAGTTGCACCTTTTGGATCCCTCTTGGGTGCAGCCACAGCTGGGCTCTTGTACTGCCCAAGATGCATCCTTTGAAGGCATTTTAATAAATATCTACTTTATTCCTTTAACTCTGTCTAACCTCTGTTCCAGGTAGCCTCTCAAGGAAGGCATCATCTGAGAGAACAACACTAGAGCTCTTTCCACAATAATGTTCTGCACATTAGGGAGACACACAAACTTCTCACTCCACTCAAAGCCTCCTCCTCATAGGCTTCATAGAAATACTTCCTCCTTTCTCTGTTCTATGTATTTGCCCTGGAAAGCAGATTTTCTTACCATCACATGATCTTCTATCTCCACCTTGTGGTGACTCAGGATCGGTTGTTTCTTTTTCAGATTTTCCTGTCAAGAAATCAGAATCTGGGGGAGTTTCTTCAGCCAGGGAGAGCGATGGTACTGAGGTGCGATTTTCCTCAAGACACTCTGTGGATGTCTCAGACACTTTATCTTCAGTCATCAGGATGCCCTCTGCACCTTCCAGAGGAGCCGGCAGTGGCAATCGTTTTTCCAAAGAAACACTGTCATAAAATGACTGCTGTAACAAGAGCTCACCGTTTGCATTCTCACTGCTGCCAGAGTGTTCAGCATCAAAAGATGCAGAGGATGGAGGAGTACACACCATTGGTGATTGGTCATTGGGTATCTCCTTAAGCACAGGAACATAATTTTCAATTACAGCTTCATATTCTTTTGCTGCATCATCAAACAGTTCATTATTTGAATCAGATTCATCACCTTCATTACCACCAGGTAGAAAGGACTTGGGAAAGAGTGTCCGTTCATCCTCTGACTTCCCTTCTGCTGCCTCACTGCCTAGCAGTGTCAGTATGTTTTTCCCACCACATGTGCCTCCCAGGCCATTAGTTACTGAGGTGTCCCTTATACTATGTTCTATCCCTGCGTCAGAGTCATCCACACATTCTCCTGATTTATCTAGCTCAACACCAGTTATTGCTGTATGATCAACACCAGAATATTTTACAACTTCACCCAAGGCACTAATTTCTTTTAAGCTTTGTTCTTCCCTGTCAGGTTGACTAAAATCCATGGGAAGCAAAGGCATTTGAGAGGTCGCTATTTGAGCTGTATCAGTTGGTGCTCCTTGATGGCTTGCATTAGTGAAACTTCCATGGAACATGTCTTTCACATCTAAGGATGTCACTTTTGTAACTTCACTGGCAATTTCAGTTGACTCAACAGGGTCAAAAACCAGTTTATTTTCTAGACTGTATTCTTCTGGAATTGCAAATTCAGGAGGCTCCTGAGGATTAGAAGAGATAAGCTGATTGAATTCACTGCCCTTTACTGGTTCATAGTCCTGGGGACTACCATTTTCAGAGTGCATCTCATTCTGCATTACTAACTGATACTTCGAGTCAAAATCTGCATCTTTATTCACATTTGATTTTGTATGAATTGGCTGACTGTCTTTGTATTCAGGCTCCACTGCAACCTGAGAAGATGGGATAGAGGCATGCTTAACTCCATATTCCTGGCACACATCAGGACTGCTTGATGACTCTGAACCATTGTCTTGGTCACAGTGACTTAAAATATCAGGATTTTCACCATCTGATTTCAAAGTGACAATCTCCTCAGCATTAGTCCAAAGGTCAGGTTCCACTGAAAACTGCTGATTACTTCCTTGTGTGTTATCCTGTAAAATATCTGGGATAAGTGAAGTTTGGGGAACTAATATATTCCACTCTGGGCTTGACTTTTCTGCCATTGCAAAAGATAAGTCTTCTACAGTGAAAGCACCTGGCATGGAGTTGTGCACTTCTACTCTTTCACACGCGTCTTCCTGCTGTCCTTGAGGAGTGAGACTTGCATTTTCCTCATTGTCTTTTGGCAGATCCAGTACAGTGATTACTTCAACTGGTATAGCTTGTTCCTCATCTGAACAAGAGTTTTGTGGAGTCAGTTGATTTTCCTCATCTGTAGAAAACAACTGCTCTATCAACTCCCTTTCTTTTTTATCCAGCGTGAAAGAATCAAATTGATTAAACTGTGAAGTGTCTTCATTTTTCTGACCATCAGGACTATTGACAGATTGCACTAGTCTTTCATTTTCTTTTTCATCAGCGTACAGGGGAGCAGGTGGATTTTCATCATTACTTGTATCTGTGAAATGTGCTTCTGTTAGTTCTTCATCTTGTGAAGGTGAGCCACAGGAGTACTCTTTACTATTTCCTAGATTATTTGTTACAGCGTGACGTGAACCAGAATACTGATTTTCCAATTGCTTTTCTTCACAAGGTCGTGAACTCCACCAATCTGAACTGTTATCTAGAAAATCAGATGTTCCTACTGTGGATTCAGGATTAGTTCTTGAATCAGCTTCCAATGACATACTCCACCTATCTACAGCTTTTGAAGAATGCTCTTCTTTATCACCAGCAGCAGAAGTCAATGCAGGATCTTCATTCACTTGATACAAATATGAGTCTTCTCCACTATCTGCTTTTACATTGAAACTACTCACCTGAGTTACTTCATCAAGTGTTTCACAAGGGCCAGTAGTAGGTTGAGTATGATCAATAAAGCCAACAGACTCATCCTCCTGCAATACCTTTTCGGCTTCAATTGTTTCAGAATTTTCACTGAAGGTGCTTACAAGGACGTTCTCTCCCACCTTAGTTTTTGCACCTAAACTGTCTTCATTAGCTTCAGGACTTGTTGCATTGGACTGATCATAATCCTCTTCATTTTCAGCTGCTTTGTGCTGTTTGTTTTCCCACACTGAATCTTCATTAATCAGTTCTGGACATGCCTCTGAATTCTCTGAATCCTCATTTACATCAGGACTTGATAAAGAAGATACAGTATCATCATCTACATGGGCATTCCAAAAATCTAAGCTTTTAGGAACTTTGTTCTCTTCACCACTTATTTCAAATCCTTCTTCATATTCATTCCCAAATTCCTGCTTTTTAAAGGAATCCTCAAGATTTTTATTATTTTTCATCTCCCACACATCCCTGCTTCTTTCATGATGACTAGCAACTGGAAGATCTCCCCACACATTCACAGATGTATCACTTAAGTCAGGACTTGTTCCACTTGAGTGTGTATAATAATTTATTGAATTACTCCACATATTATCTTCTTCCAAATAGCTTTTGATCTGTATATCTTTTGAAAGACTGCTTGTGGTATTTGCTATTTCAAGGACTTCGCTTGCCTCAGGACTTGTTCCAGGAGACTGCAAATCTTCACATGGCTGTGAATCCCAAGCAGTTTGGGGAAAATTGTCATTAAGCACTGCAAATGGTTCTCCACAAAGATTAGTAGCAGGTTCTACATTTTCAGAGTTTTCATTTCTCCCAGAAGCTATTTCAAGCGAAAATGAATTTTCCACCACAGACATATGTGTAATATCAGGAACACTAACAAATCCAGAAGGATTTTTCTTAAACTCATCTGTGAAAGAATTTTCATTGGTCTTCATCAGTTCTAGGCTATTTTTTAAAGATAGTAAATCAGAATTACAAATGTCTGGATGGTTAGGAATCACTTCATGTAAGCATTCTTGCCCTTCTCCCAGAGGTTCTTGTGGTTTATCCATCAAAGGAATTGATATGGCTTGGCCACTACCATTCTTTCCAGAGTCATTCCAGACACCTGAGCTTCCAGGTCTTTTAGCAGAATTATTCTCAGGATTGTCACTACCCTTATCAGAATTTTCAGAAGTACCTTCCATCTTGGGACTTGCTGCATCCTCTGTCACTGTAGCCTCTTTTCCAGCTTCCTCAGAAAGCAGCTGTGACATTTCACTATAATTGTAATTTTGTGGTAAGAGGTCATCCAAAAATTCATAATCTCTGCCTCCTTCAGAAATACTTGAAGAATCTAAACTTTTCTGCAACATGTCCCTTGTCTCTTCCTGGTTACTTTGATTGGAAAATGACACATTCTCTGTGATTAATATTTCCAAACTAACACTATTTCTCTGTTTTTCTGGGGAGGTGGCAACTTCAGTTGTTGGTTCATTTTCTTTCAAATCTCTTTTACCTGAAGATTCATTGCCCTCTTGCACTGGTTTATTATAAATGTCATCAATCATCTGCTGCCCACTTGTCACATGTGTTCTCTTACGTTCTTCTCCTTCCTTAGAGATGACAGTGGCATTATCCCAGCTTTCCTCACAACCCTGCTCACTCTGTAAACCCCACGAGCCCAGCTGGTGCACGGAATCCTGAATACCCAGCTCTTCATCAATACTGGCAGTGGTTTGTGCTGCATTCTTACTAAGTATCTCACTCCCTAAGTCACATATTTTCAGATCCAAACCATTCTCATTTTCTGAATTTGGCGTAGAGGTGTTTGTGCTTTCTACAGGAACACTGCCCACAGCTTCTGCCTTGTCAGCTGTTCTCTGTCCCGTATTTAATTCATTCTGTGATGGTGATAAGTCATTCACTGTTTGATTATATGCCAGTATTACTCTTTTGCTTTCAGATACAGGAAAGTTATTTTCACTGCTACATGTTTCAGTTGAAAAACATAGATCAGCTGTTTGTTCTGAATTAAGGCAAGGTTTAGCAGAGGCAGAAAGAACTGGCATTTCAGAATTTCTTCCTTGTAACTGGGTGATATTATTTAGGGGAGTGTTCCAGATATCTGTACTTCTAGTATTTGAAAAAGGCATATTGTTAGGAGATAACGGTTCCTTAGTTGATTTCTCAAGTACTTTTGACTCAGCCAAGTTTGTGTTCATGAATTTACCAGTAACTGTTCCTTCATCAAAATCCTTGTCCTCATTTTCTCTTTCATCTTCTACATATGTAGGTGATATATATGAATCAGATGTTGAATAATTGGTGTCTGGTGGAGAAACAACTAAATCTTCCGCTATATTTGATGAACTAAGATCTGAGTTTTTATATAAGAAGGTGTCCTCCCAGGGCACCACTACTTCTGTTACTTCTTTTCTGATGTTTTTATCATACATATTCCAGGCATCTATATTTTCAAATTGTTTTGGTCTGTGTTTAGGATCACCAAATAAAGCTTTTTCCCCCATGTTCAGCTTGGAATTATTTTGCATATTGTTGAAAACAAAAGTTATATTTTCAGATTTTCCATGGTCTTCTATTGAATAATACCTTCCTTTATCCCACACTTCTGGATTTTCAATTTCATTGTCCACTGTGATTTCTGAAGAATCTGATAAACCTGTTTTTGATACAGCCCATTCCTCAGGAATATTCACTGATTTTAACTCTCTATCTAGTTTGGGCATGTTCCATACATCTTCTGAGGATTTACCAGCATTTCCTTCATCAAACTCAGTCCAGATTTTGTAAGAGTCTCCAGCTAGCTGCCTACCTTTTCCTTCACCACTACACCACGCATCTGACATCACAGGTGTTGGTTGGCTGACCTTCCACAAGTCTGTAAAGCTCTCCACTTCTTGCTTTGTCTCATCTAAAGAAGCAGTTTGCAAACATGAATGTTCACTGTTTTTCTCTTGATTCTCATGGTTCCAATTATCTTCTTTAAACTGATTATCCCATAGACCTGCTTTCACATATTCCATTTGCTTTGGCTGTTTTTGGAGGAACACAGAATCTGAGGCTCTTCTATCAGTATGGTCTCGTAGCAAAGGACTTTCTTTAGAATCTTTCCATAAGACAGGACTATGAAATACAGATTCCTGTTCACTTGAACTCCATGCATCAGCATTTCTGGAATCTAGATCAAAGCCATCCCACCAGCTGCCATATCTAACACGAGACGGAGAGTAATTTGTGCCCTCTATTTCATTGATTTTTTTTATGACATCTTGTGAGAAAATTAAAGGCTGCCCATTATCCAATGGTGAAGTATCTACAAGACTGTTCATAGGAGTTGGTGGAATTTTTGAATCAGTAGATTTCAACGCTTCTGGTGAAGAAGAATCACCTTCAACAAAATCAATCAAACTTGAACTTTTCTCACACATTCCTCCTGGATTCTCAGCAAATTCAGCCAGATTGTCTTCCTCAATTTTTGTTGCAAGTAAGTCAGTTGAATACTTTACTGTAGCATTTTCTAAGAGGTTTGTCTCATCGAGTTTTTTCTTCAGAGTGAGCTGATGCCCTTCTGATGAATCACTATTGAGAAAATAGTCATCTGCTGGGGAACAATCCACAGAACGAGAAGATGACTCAGATGGAGCTGTAACCATGGGCGCTAGATCAAAATTGAAAAGATCAAAATTATCGCTATTGCTTCCTGACTGAGACTTTTGCTCTTCAGCTACTGCTCCTTCAGGAATAGGGCTGTAGGAATCAAAGCCAGGCAGAAGACTGTGATGTGAGGCAGCCCCTTCTGCAACAGGGCTGTCGTCACTAAGAAAAACAGAACTCTCCTTGGAAGACCGGCTGCTTCTAATGGTAGCCAAGCCACTGTCTGGACTCACAAGGTCTACATTAACATCAATGTGGGCTTGCACAGACCCATTTAGATCTTGAGGATTTTCTATAAAATTGGCAGAACTGGGCTGTGGTTCTACATCAGAACCATATAACTCCATAATACCAGAAGATCCTTGTGAAAGTGGAGCACTTCCAGCAACAGCTTCAGTAGAAGAAGTTCTACTGTTTGATACCATTTCTGGTTGCCTTCTATTTATAACTTCCTTAATTAGAAGAAAAATTTGATCACAGGTCACTGAAGAATTTTCTTGATGATAAATGAGAATTTGGTCACATTCACATTCTAGAGGATTCAGCTCCAAACAAGGATTCTGACATTCTTCTAATTCACAGCAGATCTGTTGAAAAATGGGTTACTTCAGAAGTCACTACAGTCATGGACATAAGGCACATATCTGACTACTTCATCATGTAATACAGCCATACCTATCTCTTCCTATTAACCTACTGCTTGGTCATTTCACTGTAGCATCCTTGTTACAATCCCCAAATAGATGATGCATTACACAAGACGATCTAGACAAAATATTTGCCTTAAGATTGGTCAGAAATTATACCACTTGATTTTTCAATTCACTTCTGGTTAGAAAATCCAAATAAAATGTTTGGTTGTTTCCTTGAGAAATCTGAGTAAAATTCATGCAATTAATTTGTGAATGTACTTTTAGAATGGGGTAATTATATTAATAAAATAAATAAATGCATTTATATTGGCCTTGAAAACCATGGAATCACTTAGCCTCCCAAAAATCATAAGTTTTCAAGACTGACAAAAAGGTTCAGAAAGTTGCCGCTGAGGTAGTCTCTTCCATCTCGGGATAAATATATTTTTTAAAAATGGGAAGCACCTAGCTCTGGACAAATGTACACAATAATAATAATTTGTTTTGATTTTGGAGTTTGAATTCTTTAGGAATAACATATACATATATGAGTTCTGGTCTTTACCACTTACAAGGTGTTTGCTTATCACTCATTGCCAAAGACACATTTGTGTACAAACCCAAGTCAAAACTGGGGAAAAAAACATTTTAACTGAATTGAAAATTCTTGCCCTTTCAGTGTTTCTCATAACCTTTTTCTATTAGCTTGGTCTGAAGCAATAATAAATACCACAATCTTTCATTCTCTTACCATATAAATAATGCAGCCATTTCAAATAGCTGCTAAGTTGCTGGTCAGCTGTTGCTATGTTTTGAAGTCAATTAATCAACATCTTGATATAGACTACTTAAAAAAATCTCAACATTTTTTTTCCAGGAAAAACATTTGATTATTTTTCCAGGTACTTACTTGATTGCCTAGCTCTACATTTTCCGAGTATACTGCTACTTGTTGTTTTGTTTGCTTCTGATCTGACAAGCAGTTGGCCAAAATGACAAGTACATCAAACCCATATTTATCTATGAATGCTTTCAGATCACCAATGAGACTCCTGTGTAATATGCAGTCCTGAAAAACATTAAAAAATTAAAAGAAATGTCAGCAACTTTTTTGGTTCTTTTCATCCAAATATGTTGTAAAAATACCTGTAAATGTTAAAAAGCATCAACAGGTCTAACAAGCAAGAAAAATCCATTTCACTCATCAAAATAACCATGTACCTAATAAAAATCAAGAACTAGTCCCATAGCACAGTAATGGAAGAACACTAGCATACTAAATGCAGGTTTTGCCTTCCTAATCTGCTGGTGAAACATAATTCTTACTTCTTCCTGCTACCTGGTTTTGCAACATTGATTAAAAGCACTCCAAGCTCTAGTGTATGCCTATGATAAAGAAACTGGGCAAAAGGAGTAGGTGACTCACATGGATGAGGACGGAACTTCCACTAAAACTCAAACTCAAGAAAGAAATGTATGCAACGTGGAAGAAGGGACAGGCCACACATGGAAGGACTCCAGGAACATCGAGTTGCAGGAATACAACAAGGAAGGCCAAGACCCACATGCAACTGAGTCTGGCAAGGGACATCAAGGACAGCAATAAGGGCTTCTGCGATTTTATCAGCTGCAAAAGAAAGATTAGGCAAAAAGCAGGGCCACTGCAGAATCAGATGGATGTTCTGGTGATGGAAGACACAGAGAAGGTAAAATTACTGAATGTCTTCTTTGCTTGTCTTTACTGTTGAGACCAGTCCTCAAGAGTCCCAGACCTCAGCAGTAAGAGAGGAAGGCTGGAGAAAGGAAGGCTTCCCCTTGGCTGTCGAGGGTTGGGTTAGAGATCATGTAGGCAGACTTAACACCTTAAATCCATGGGATCCATCCACAGGTGATGAGAGAGCCTGGCAGATGTCCATTTGCTGCTTTCCATTATCTCTGAAAAATCATGGAGAATGGGAGAATTGCCTGATGATTCAAGGAAAGCCAATATCACTCTTGTCTTCAAAAATGACACGGAGACCTGGGAAACTACCAGCCAGCCAGCCAGCCAGCCAGCCTCATCTCAGTTCCTGGAAAGGTGATGAAACAGATCATTCTGGAGACCATCAAAAAGCATATAGAAGACAAAGTCATCAGGAACACAGGAACAGTAAGGATGGATTCACCGAAAGGAAACCAGATTGGACTAATCTGATAGACCTCCGTGATGGCATAGCAGGATGGGTCGACAATGGGAGAGCAGTGGATGTTGCCTAACTCAGCTTCAGCAAGGCTTTTTTTTTTCCTGTAACATCCTCAAAGGCAGGCTCAGGAAATGTGGGTTAAAGGAATGGACAGTGAAGTGAATCAAGTACTGGCTGAAGGCAGAGCTCAGAGAGTCGTGATCAGTACAGCAGAGTCCAGCAGGAGGCCTGCAGCCAGTGGTATTGCCAAAGGATCAGTACTGGGACCAATCCTACTCAACTTGTTTATCAGTGACCTGGAGGAAGGGATCAAAGGCACCCTCAGCAGGCTTGCTGGTGACTCCAAACTGGGGCAGTGGCTGATCCACCTGAAAGCTCTGCTGCCATTCAATGGGACCTTGATCAGCTGGAGGGTTGGGCAGAGAGAAACCTGGTGAGGCTCAACAAGGGCAAGTGCCAGGTCCTGCACCTGGGCAGGAACAGCCCCAAGTGCCAGCACAGCCTGGGGCTGACCTCCTACAGAGCAGCTCTGTGGAAAAGGACCTGGAACTCCTGGTGCACCACAAGCTGTCCATGAGCCACCAGTGCCCCTGTGGCCAGGAGGGCCAATGTCATCCTGGGCTGCATTGGCAAGAGTGTGGCCAGCAGGTCAGGGAGGTGATCCTCCCCCTCCACTCAGCCCTGGTGAGGCCATTGCTGGAGTGCTGTGTCCAGTTCTGGGCTCCTCAGCACAAGGGAGACAAGGAGCTACTGGAGAGGGTCCAGTGGAGAGCCACAAGGATGATCAGGGGTCTGGAGCTTCTCTCTCATGAGGAGACACTCTGGGAGCTGGGATTGTTTGGTCTGGAGAAGACTGAGAGGGGATCTCACCAATACACAGAAACATCTCAAAGGTGGGTGTCAGGAGGATGGTGCCAGACTCTTCCCAGTGGTGCCCAGAAACAAGAGAAGGAGCAATGGCCATAAACTGAAACACAGGAAGTTTCACCCCAACAAGAGGAAGAATTTCTTTACACTGAGGGTGGCAGAGCACTGAACAGCTGCTGGGGAGGCTGTGGAGTCTCTCTCTCTGGAGACATTAAAAGCCCTCCTGCATGTGCTCCTGTGTCACCTGCTCTCGGTCACCCTGCTTTGGCAGGGGGCTTGGACTGGATGATCTTGAGAGGTTCCCTCCAACCTCAACAATTCTGTGATTCTGTGATACTGGTCTATTGCTATTTCTTGAATAAAACCAGGTTTTTGTTAGAAAAATAAATACTTTATGAAATTTGTCATGCCAATATTTCATCTAAAAAACCCAAACATTAAAACAATAGTATTGAGAAGCAAAATTCACAAGCTAATTTAATTTTGCAGTCCTTCATATGTATCCATGATGATGTTACCCTATTGCAACACACAATTACCACAGACTGCTCCAACAGATCCCCTTGTTCCTGCTCTTCGAATTGTGCAAATCTCAAAAAAAAATACACACACACAAGTAAGAACTGAGGCAAAGTATTTTTATATTCCTTGTATCAAAAAAGTTGTCTTCTTTCACACACACCCCACACCAAATACACAGGAGGTAAACTTTTATGTTTCCTATTCTCATTAATACTTGGACTAGCCCACTTACATAGGACTTGAAACATAAACCATACATCACCTTTCTCAGCTGCGAACATAATGCACAAAGATAACTACTGCTCAACAAAGACGCAGAAATTTCATTTTCTCCTTTATGTTTCTGCTGTTTGTATTGACATAATTTTTTGTCATCTTCTAGCCAAGACTTCTTTTGATGCTGCCAAGCTACACTGGCCTTGAATAAACAGCAGTTCATCATGAACACGGCACAACTGTATGTGCAGACTGGCACGTTATTCCCCTGCATCAGTCTCTTACCTAATAATTACTGTTTTGATTACAAATATATAAACACAATTTATTAATCTACTCAACTGTGTCCACAAAATGCATCACCCTCCAAGTTAGACTTAAAAAAAAATAATCTTGTTTGTCAAATGCTTTGGAAGTAGATTCCTTTCTGCAACTAGAGATGAAGTTTCCCGTTGATGTTTGGATAGCACCTTAAAATGAAGTTTATGTGAAATTCACACAGATTAATGCACCAACAGTCAGCTGCCAGTTTATTGGTGGACATTCATATGTGAAATCTGAATAGAAAGTTATGATGAGGAATTATTCTGAAAAAGCTTTGAATATCTAAACCAGTAAAATCTTCTGAAGACACAAGTACTGGGTAAATTAGAAACAGTTCCAAAATGTCCTTGAGCATGGAAAAGTCACTTCAATTATCCCACTACTAACTGCAGCTGGAACAATTAAAATCGATTCAAATAAAAAAATCTGAACTACAGCAGATCCAAAACCATCTAAAAATTCCTGATAACTCACCTAAACAATGTTAGTTTATTCTTTTAAAGTAGTACCAGCAACAAAATTCAGATACTCCCTTCCCAGGCATTCAAACATTCAAGTAAATAATGACAGTTGCAAACAAGTCTTAAAAACTACAAAGGCCATATACTGAAAGACATGATAGATATATGGACTCTCCTATGAATTTTATAACCTAAATTAACAAGAACTTATTACAAATGCTTACAGAAAATGAAAAATTTTCTTCAGAAATGAAAACCTGCAAATAATTTCAACAGTTAAGCTAGTACATCCCAAATTAATTACATCCATTTAAAATATGCTTTTGATGAATTAGTATAGCCTGAGATGTACTGACATAGCTAAACAATGACAAAGGTCAGTTAACTGGTCATTTTTATATTCTTCTTTTCTTGTACTAACATGTGCTGGCTGAAGTATTAGGTAATATTCACACAGTATACAGCAGATAAATGGTGTACATAAATATTGTTAGTTGTTATAATTGTGTTATAATGCCCTCTAAGTATCTTATAAACAAAAAAATGAATTGCTAGCATACTTGAAATATATGTACTTGAAATAAACAGAATTTAGTAGTACATATATTTTGCATAGTTAACAGCAGTGTAACTACTGGAGTAATTTAGTGTCATAACACGTAATAAAATGGTGCTTTTGTCTAACACACATAAATAGCTTCTGCTGTAACACATATAATGTGCATTCTAAAATTTACAAATATTTTTTGAATCAGTTAGGTGAGCAGAATTACAAAGTTGAAGAAATCCAAAGACTTTTGAATTATTTTTGAATATGAACTATTTAGTAATTATGTATTTTTGCTGAGAAATACCATTTTATGTAAGTTCTATACCGTTGGGAAATTTCTTTCTCGGAAACTCTATTTTCCTTCTTGATTCTCGAGAATTTCTTTTTAAGTTTAACAGATAATGTAACTATAAACATGGATGATCCTTTAAAAGAGGCAAAATATCAAAGAAATATCTGAAGAGAATCTTAACTTCTCTGTCTCTTGCAACACTGATTCATGAAATCAACAGCCAATTACCCAAGTGATCACTGCAAGTGTACATTACACACACTTCTGACTCTTCTAAGCTAACTGTGTCAATATTAACCTGACCAAATTAAGAACAAACTGTCTCTTTTGTTCTTCACACTTCTCACATGGGGAGCACAATATGGCTTTTGTCAGAGGTGCTCCATCATTTTGGCTCAAGGAAACTGTCAGTACAGTTTGGGATTCGTTATTCATGGGCAGATACCCTGATGAGTCTAATGAAGCCTTTCTGCTGACAACTCATTTGCTAAAAATACCCAACCATCACAAAATATAAATGAGGAATATCGTATCCCATTACAATTTTCACAACTGATGCAATTATCACAATACAGAAGTCATACATACTGCTACTGCATTCTCTTAATATTTCATGGTCGGTACTTCTGCATTCCAGTTTATTTCTATGTGATC